GCCATACAAACATGGAGTGTGTCCTTGCCTCCTTGGCACTTGTTTGAAACTAGGTGCTGGCTACTTTAGCAACGATGATTCAGCTCAACTTGAAAGTTTCCAGCTCAAGCTGTTCGAATAAGTAAACAAGTTTCTACGTACCCCACAATCTCAAGTATATTACTATTTCCCCACTTCTAGTTTTTTTGAATATAACTTTATATAAAAAAAAAAGGCCGTAAAAGTTACCAAAAGCAACTAACTGACGAGGATATCAGTAGATTATGGGGTATTTACTCTGAGTTTAAGGTCCATAGGGGTATCCTCTTGTCACCATTTGGCTTGATGGGTATTTCTTGTGGGTCCCCCTTAGATTGCTTTCTGGCCGATTTGCTGATGTTTGCTGCATGTCTCTCATTGTTTGGGTGTGTGTGTAATGTTTCGTTTCGGACAAAAAAAAAAAAGAAAAAGACGTGGACATAAAATATATCTAAACATTATCAAAACTTCGGACATGTTTTCATGCTATTGTGCATGGTACATTTTTTGGGGTTAAATTTTGATAAACCTATAACCTCGTAGCATGCAAAATTAGTTCTTTTTAATAACAACCTACATTAAATAAGGATATTTTAGAGAAATTAAAAGATAACTATATTTTTTAATTGAAAAATGGATTACAATTTGGGACAAATAAAAAAGGAAAACAGGACTATCAAAATGGGACGGAGGGAGTAGTTGCCAAATGTTCAAACTTTCTCCTCTTAAGGTCTTGCGTTTTAACTTTTAAGCATACTTTCTTTAAAAGTGAAATTTCAAATATTTGGAGCTGTTGTCAATTACTATTCTCTTATACATTACGAAGGGAAATCATCAAATTCATAAGAATACATTACGAAGGGAAATAATTAAATTCATAATATTCTTTTAAGACTGGCCCACCCGTCCTTTTTATGACGATCTCTTCTGGTTGGTTTTTTGTCTGCATCGAACCAGAGGTCCGGGTGAACAGTAAAACCCCAACATAATGCCATTATTGCTTTCACTCAATGCATGGAAAGCAGTTCCCTACCACGTGCTTTCTATCAGCCCATTGTCTCCGTCTAGATGGCGACATGTTCTCTGCCGGATCCATATGTAGATAAATCAGATTTTTGTTTTATATAAATATTGCATATGTTACTCTGGGATTAGCTATTTTTGGAGATATTTTTGAAATATTTTTCTGTAATAATGAAGTTGAAAAACTTTTACAGTAGATGAGGTTATTTTTATGTTATTTTTTGTTTTTTTGGTGTTTTTTAAGGTTATTTTTTTATGTTTTTGGTGTTTTTGAAGTTATCTAAATTCTAAACCATAGATGATAGAACGCATTACAGTGCACTTTCTGGATTTAAGTGGTCTGCTATATCAAACACAAACGCCCTAAATTACCTCATTTAGATGCCAAACTTTATGAGTACTATTGAAGCAATTTCAATTTTTCCTGCAAAACAGTACGAATAAGGCCACGCTCTTTTTCAAAAAAAAGGCTGGACCAGCCAACAAGCCAGTTTTTTAGCTACTTTAAACGAGATCTTGGGTTTTTTTTTTCCCCTTTCCCCCTCTCCCTGACAAGGATCCTTCACTAAAGTTTGCTATAAGGAATAGAAAACTTTAGGACTACTTAGTGCTTAATTAGCACGAGTAAAACTTCTGTTGCCTCAAATTCCATTCCACGGCGACGTAATACAAAGAGAAGGAAAAAATCAGGGACATGTTTGAATTGCATTTTTCTGAATTTTTTTGTAAAAAAATTATTATAACGATTTAATATATGTAATGTAAAAAAATGATTGCGAAATATATTCACGAAAAATATAGCAAATTTTCAATTTTTTTCCAAACAAGGCCTTATCACAAAGATCACCGACAGATCGTCCCTGCACTTTATTTAATGGTAATTGGCAGGTCTGTTTTTGGAAGCCTCCTCCTGCGTGTGCTTGGATGTTGGAAGATGAGCTCTAAGGACGAATAAAACCAAAGGTAGGCCCCTGAGATTATGCCAAATTGCGGCCTATCCAGCTGTGGCGTCCGGTTTGGTTGGGGCCAGAGGGGACTTTCTCTAAATCTCGTTTAGTTTTTCCTTTTCATTGGGCCAAGTTGGTTGGAGGGGGTCTCCAACCCCTTAATTCTCACAATTGAATTGAATTTTGCTAGGCAACAAAAGCACAACAGTTTAGTGGATATTCCCAATCTTAACTAAAAACTTTCTATTCCCGCAAGAGTTCGAGTTCCATGGTTATTGTGTTCGGGGGATGGGGCCTCTTCTCTCGAACCGATGGGGGATTAGTCGGGTCCGATTTACCCGATGGCCCGGATACCCTTTCCGTCAGCCAAAAAAAAAAAAAAAAAACTTCCTATTCATTCTTCCCTATGACATGATGAAGTAAAAGATATGTGAATTGATAAATTTTTTGTCTCTCATTTGGATCATGAATCTGATAGTAAACCATACACAATCAGGCCAACGTACAGGAATCAGAAAAGAAATTTGGATATTTACTGTATTTTACTTTTATCAACTTCTCATGGTTTGTGATTAACACATTTGCAAGGTCCGATGTTGTATAGGGGGGGAGAGATAAATATACACACTAACAAATGTATAACGGGAGATTGCTATATACAACACAAACATACATACGTGTAGTCGAAGAGGAATAAATAACACACTACTAATGACACACAATAATAATACTCTTTAACTTTTTTATTCTTCTCAACTGAATATAATAATTAAATGCCTTATATAACCTTGTATACAGTCAAAATAACTCGATGAATAAAGAACGACCATCTAGTACAATTTTCAACTATTATACAATAAATAGAAACATCTAAATAAGTAATATTCTTCTGGAAAAGTAATTATCTAATTTAATATTCAATTATTACATAACAAATAAAAAATCTAAAAGAAAATATTCGGCTTGATATATATATAATGTGACAGCGCTATGTATTCCATGCTAATAACTTTTAAGATGACATGATGGATGCACCAAATTCCCAAAAGCTTGCGAGTTAATCATTAGGAACATTTAAATGTTTTAGAGATTGGGAGGATTCAGGGGTATTTCATCGGTGCCCTTTTGTTTAAACTATTTTTGGTTGAAACTACTCTATATAACAGTAGTGTCACGTAGAATATAGCTTAACTACTGAAGGAGCTTGTCTCCTCGAGTCCTCATTGCAATAGGATCTGCGGCCTCACAATTTCTAGCTGGTTTCTATATATATATATATATATATATATAAAAGAAAAGAAATCCCATCAAGTACAATAATTTATCCGGCCACAAGAATATTTGAAGAACCATGAAAATGCACCCCTTTGCCAAATTCTCATTATCGTCGTCTGGCACTAGTAGCAGCAGTAGTAGACGCAATTTTGTGGACAAACCCAAGAACCGTCGTGCATGGCTTTTCGTTGCTCTCGTCTTTCCTATTCTCATCCTCCTAATGTTCACCAGTGCTCCGAGGCAATATCTATCCATCCGTCGTCTGAAGCAACGTTTCCGAGCTCCGGCTGGTTCTGAGCAGTGCAAGTACGGCACCGTCTATGTATACGACCTTCCTCCATCCTTTAACAAGAAATTGTTAGACAACTGCCGCGCTATAGATCCGCAGAATTCACTTTGCGATGCTCTCTCTAACGATGGATTTGGCCCGAAAGCCACCGATCTCCAGGGAATCATCCCCGAGGATCTTACTCCCGCGTGGTACGCCACTAGCATGTTTGCCGGTGAAGTTATTTATCATACCAGGATCTCCAATTACAAGTGCAGAACCTACGACCCAGATTCTGCAGCAGCTTTTTACATACCCTTTTATGCGGGATTAGCTATCGCCAAGTATCTGTACGCTAATCGCAGTATTGAGAGCGAGAGAGAATCGCAGGGCGAGAGCTTGGTCAAGTGGGTAACTGAGCAACCGTCTTGGAAGAGATCCAGCGGCGCTGATCACTTTATTATGCTGGGCAGAGTATCTGGGGATTTCAGGCCTGGGGATCATCACATGGATGCAAAATCGGGGTCGAGCTTCGTTCTCATGCCTCCTATCAGACAGACGCTAAGGCTGGCACTTGAACGAAGCCCCTGGGACCGCTACGAGATTGGGGTGCCGTATCCTACGGGATTTCATCCCAGGTCCAACGCTGAGCTTGAAAACTGGTTGAAATTCGTGAGAACTCGCAACCGGTCCAAGCTCTTCACATTTGTGGGAGGGAAAGAAAAGAGGTTGAAGGATGATTTCAGGGGTTTGTTGGTGGACCAGTGCCGCGACGAGTCTGACAGGTGCACAGTTGTGGACTGTTCGGAGACTCGGTGTTCCGATGGAAGCCCGGCAATTCTTGAACCCTTCCTGGACTCCAACTTCTGTTTGCAGCCCAGATCAGGTGATTCTTTCACGAGAAGATCCACATTTAATTGCATGCTGGCTGGTTCAATACCGGTTTTCTTCTGGAAAAGAAGCATCTTTGGTCAGTATGACTGGTTCCTGAGAGATGACCCCGAGCGGTTCTCGGTATTTATAGACGAGAAGCAAGTGAGAAACGGGACAATTTCTATTAGGAAAGTGTTGGAGGGATATGGCATTGAAGAGATTCAGATGATGAGGGAAAGGGTCACTAATCTGATACCTAGGTTTCTTTATGTTATGCCCGGTGATGATGAATACGATGATGGTGGTGTGGGGAAGTATACCATGAGAGATGCAGTTGATATAGCTGTTGAAGGGGTGCTGCGACGATTCAAGGAGCTAAGATTAGTCGAGCGACAATGAGCGCAAACAAATTACCCGCCAAAGGCTCGAGACCTCAGTTCAAGGCCTGCAGTGGGTGATTCTTCTGGGGTCCTCGTTTGCGTGGTTCAACAACAACAATTTTGCTGTTCGGACCTCTAATAAGGTCCGGTTGATGAATTCACAGCACCAGTGTATTGCTAATTGATTAACGCTGGAAATTAATTGCTTGATTCAGAGGATCAGGCTTCATTAGTGTCGTAAGTATGCAAGTATTTATGTTGTCAACAAAAGTCAGTTTGTACTTGTGGATTAATTGAAGAAAAAATACCGTGATAAAAGAGTAAAATTTACTGTACGTAATAAGATGGAGGTATATTGATGATCTATTTGTATCCTCATAGGAAACGCAAATATTCAAACCGTTGAATATTAGGTAAAACAACTATTATTTGCAGAGTTAGCTGCGGAACTTGGCTCCCTCTCAAGACACCACTTACCGAAGTCGTCGGTAATGAAAGTTCCCACAAGTAAAAAAAAAAAATACTAGCGTGGTAGTGTCATAGTAATAGCTAGGAGCCAACCCATATGCAACTTCTAGAGCAGAGACGAGGGAAGAAATGCAGCCCTTAGCCAGATTCATAACATCTAGACGGAATTTTCTCGACAAACCCAAGAACCGTCGTGCCTGGCTCTTAATTGCTTGATTCAGAGGATCAGGCTTCGTTAGTATCGTAAGTATGCAAGTATCTAAGTGGTCAACAAAGTCAGCTTGTACTTTTGGATTAATTGAAGAAAAAAATAACCATGATAAAAGATTAAAATTTAGTGTATGTAATAAGATGAAGGTATATTCTATTTGTATCCTCATAGGAAACACAAATATTCAAACCGTTGAACAAAATTGCTTCAAGGAGTCAAAAAAAAAAAAAAAGAAAAAAGCAAAGAGAAAAGGATAATGGAAGAAACAAATGCATGCTAGAAGTTTATTGCTGTCGCAGTAATAAAATTTTTGGGAGTACGTTTTGTGGGGAGAATCCCAAATGAATTCCTCAACTACTCTAGGTATACCTATATGATGATTTTTTTGTTTCCTCCCGTTTGATTAATTCTTGTAAGAAGTCATTCCATGCGTCGATCGGACCGGGCAAACACCAATGCTCGCAATCATTAGTCACTTTCTCAGTTGGCCAGTGACCGTATTTACTGGGGTGACCGTCTGGTCTCAGCGACATAGCCTGCGTTACATCAAATAATCGAAACCTTAAACCCCATTTGCTTCCTTCTTCTTGAGCAATTCTAAGTTCCTTCAATTGTATTTTGTGCAGTTCTGAGTTATAATCCGCCAAGACAGTCTCATTCCTGTTGAAGGGCCTCGTTCTCACACAATCTCCACCTTGGTCCCAAACCCCACCTTCAAAGTGCGACGGGGCAATGGTCCTAAGGATTGTTACACCCTTGAAGTTTGCTAAGCTGATAATTGCTCTGAAAGCTGTCCTGAAAGCTCTTTCATAACTAAAATTCATTGTGAACTGAGTAACATTGTCTTGTTTACAGGCCAGGCAGCCAATGAGGGTGCGATTTTCATAGAAATTGGTTGGCCTGAAGAACCATTGCCCAGCTGAGATGATAATGTAGTCATACGCTTGAACTTTTGTTGTCCAGCCATCATCAAACTCATCAAGATACAGATTGAAAGGGCGGGTTATATCGTTGGGATCAGTTCTTTCTGACCTTACCAGATAGGGAGCCCAGAACATGGAAACGTTGAAGTTATATTCCCTGTATACCCAGCGTCTATTTTCGTCATTAGCAGTTGAAACATCCAGAGGATAAAGAACCTGAAAATACACGGATAAAAATTATATATTCCATTTGCAGCACAACATTTTCATCTTTATTTCTTATTTTCCTTTTTTGTAGGGAATAATATACGGTGGACTGATGTTCAAGAACTGCAAAAAAGGGGTGGTAATTTGCCTCGGCCAGTTAACAATTACTGTCAATCATCCCATAATTCGTTTTCTCATTCCATCATATCTTCGTTTTTTCTTGCTTTAGGAAGACATCAAATTGATTTAGTCAGTGGAAACACGGAATCAGTTGATCCTTTTTTTTCTTTGTTGTTTTTAATACAATGAGTTTTGTTTTCGTGTAAATCCTGCGCTGCTAACTTACCCATTTTGAAGGAAGATGAAATAAAAATAGGAAATATTTTGGGTTGGAGCACTAAGTTTTATGCTATTGTTCATAAAAGTTGTGCGCATCAAAGTTATAAGCACATTAAAAGTATAACTAATGCAAATCTTTAGTGAACGACGCAAGTTTTACAACAAAACGGATTAACTTAATCTCGTGTGATGAGGGCAAGCAAAATTAAATTCCTCAAAAGGTGGAGCTTTAAATTTGATCACATATAAGCAAATTAAGCAAAAACAAAATGCACAGCAGAGCATAACCAATTCGGACTCATACGGCTGCTATTCTGCCTTGTCTTACTCAAGGAAGCCTGGAGGACCGTTCCTACCACACAAAGAAATTGTACAGATTGCAAGGAGATTTTTTTTATAAAAAAAAAAAAAAAAAGATAAAATCTGCAAGCATGGAGTAATCTGAACCAAAAATTTAGATAATGCAAGTATTTCACCAACAAATCAAACATGACTGAGCTAACATGATGAATGTGAAGATGGACTTTACCCTCGACAAGAGGCACATCAATGACAACATGTGATTTCTTGCCAGAGAGTCTCCCACAAAGGCGATGGACTTTCCCCTAACCACTTCCAAAAACTGGTGCGGATCGAATATGGGCAGCTCGCATCCGTCTGGTTTCCACCTCCATTTCAAAAAGTTAGTATCGGGCCTTCCATATTTCATACAATTCTGATGATCATAAATTCCATAACACGTGGAGTTGGTATAATACGGTGCCTCCGGGTTGGGAACCCATTCCCCTGTAAACAGGTCGCAGCTTTCTTTATCTCCCAATTTGCTGTGGTCAATGCCGCCAGCAGGATTAGGAACTGGAGATACCCTCTTAGTTTGTTCCGGTGATCGTTGGATTGGAATTCTCGTTCTTCCCTCATTTTCGTCCCCTTGGCTTGGGCTTGGAGATGGAGCAGACCGCCTTTCAGAATTATTTCTATCCAATGTAGTCTGGGCAACTATCAAGTCACTCTTGATGGAGCTTGGTGGTTCGCTTGGCTCTATTTCCGGTGAATTTGCAGCCTCAGGTTCATCATCTTTTTCAGGTCTCCTTATCGATTCCCTGGGAGAATCAGAAGAAGGGACCGCTTGAGGTACATTCCCAGGATTATATAGTAGTGAAGGAGAATATACGCAAATAATAGTAGCAACGGATAAAGCAATGCTCAAGGCTACAAGAGAGGCTACCTTGGGTGCCTTTCTTCGTCTTTGATGCGCTGGAAGATCAAACATTTGAAGATTCATTCAGGAGGCCTGGAAAGAAATCAAGCAAGAGCCAATGAGAGGAATGGAGTGATCAGAATCACATATAAGTTTGTGCTGAAGATCTAAAACAATTGGTACTCCATACATGTAGTGTATATATATGCATAGAAAAATGGCACGGCACGTGACTAAATGAGGAATGAGGAATGAAAATATGAAATATAGGTCGGGGTGAAACAAGATCGAATCCTAGTCCAATGCAATGGTACGATAAAAAGTTTCTTCTATGAGTATGACATGACGATGGAACAACTCTGCAAATCAAATGAACTTCAGTTTATATGCATGGTAAGATAGAAAACTGCGCGGTGTAATTAATAGAAAGCAGCTTCCGAATGGTTTGACCATTTATAAACTACAACTGGACAAGCTGGATGCTTTTCGTTTCCATTCGATCGAGTAGCATTCGAGGACTGGTTGTCAGTTTATATATATATTTTTAAAATGTTTAACGAACAAGTAGCTTTTCATGCAGAAAATAATCCCAATCACTTCTAAAATTTTATGTGGTCCGGGCGCTAACAAGTTGCAATTCCAAGTGTGTGAGATAGTAGTAATTAAACGTTCCATATGAATGTTGAATGTTTAATTGTGTTTATAAATGTAAAATAAGTCTCTAGTGCCAATTTTGTGAACATAATCATTAAACTTGCCCCTGGCCAAAAAACCCAAGCGACAGCACCATTGACGTCGTTGTTGCTTCATTCATGACATTCATGGAAATTTAGGACCACCGTGATTGGATCCGTCAAAAAGCCATTTTTCTCTAAAAAAAAATTTATAGAGTTTTTCATGAGCACATTTTTTTTACGTCATATCCATCAAATCTCTATAGTAAATATTTCTAAAAAAAACCAAAAAACAACAATTCAAATGAAAAAGTTTCAGGAATAATAATACAACAGCCCAAACTTCAGTGTGAACATGTACCAAGAAAAATAGACGTCGAACTAAAAGTTTATAAAATAAGTGAACTTCTTCCTCTGTGGGTTTTTTTTTTTTCAAAGAAAGGATAAATGATGGGACTCCAATAATCCCTGTCGAATAGGTACAAAAGTCATTGATAGAGTAGTAGTGTTTTATTGACCAAAGTGTACTTAGTTGCTTGGCTAAGTAGTGGAGTAGTATTTTATTTAACTCAACTACTCTGGCATCAGGTTGGTTGGGGGTGCATACTTTTTGCAGGGCTGACAAACTCTTTTAACTTTTTCAAAATCGCGATCCAATACGAGTCTTCCTAGTTAATTGCACAAGTCATGCATTAAATATCACGATAGATTAGCAATTTGTACCAATTTTCAAACTCCTTTTTTTTATAAAAAAAAAAAAAAAAAAAATTCTACTTTACCATTTTAATGTGAATGATGTCCAATTTTCTTTTTATACTAGTAGTACAAAATAAGATTAGGGGGGCGGTGCAAGGAATTCATGTAGTCAACAATAATTTAGTACTCCTCCTTGACAACTCGATCGACAGAGAATCGGTGCAGCCTCAAGACAGCAAATTAACAATTAGAAGATTAGTATTAATCTTGATGGTCCATCCACCTTCTTCTTCTTTTATTCTGTGGAATGGCACAGTTTTCACGGATGACAACCCATATATCTACTTACAAGCTTTAGTTTACATTTAATGTTGCAATTGATTAATGCTTAGAATATGTGTTAACTTAGTGGAATGTAACGCCGATTTAGCATCTCCCTCACATGAAAATTGTGGATAAGAGTGCAAAACATTTATAACAACTCGGATTTACCGATATCACGCACTAGAGTTGACAAAAAAACTCAAAACCCAACAATCTGCCCATTACTTTTAAAGGATGAATTTTTGTTAGATTTGATAAAAACAACTTACAATAAAGCAAATATGAATAGTAAAAGTGTTAAATAAATTGTGACAAAAATAAGTTTCAATCAATTAGTGGTATTAAAAGGTATAAAGTAAACAAATTTTTTTAGGTAATCTATTTAAATGTACAATTTATTAAATAAAATTCGCAATACAAGTAATATAAAATATTATTCTATTTATGATATTTTTCCAAGGAGTTTAAGAAGTGAGTGTGAGTTTGTGTGCATGAAAATATATTTATGTCTATGAAAATATGTTTATGTATGTAAAAAAAATCTTTTTATTTGTGTAAATATATAAGAAAGATTTTATGTATCACAATGTATTAATTAATATGTTGGATCATGAATTTGAGATGATCCAATATGACCCAACCTAAAATCAATCCAATTTAAAGTTGGATGAATTGGATATAACCCATTTAGATGAAAATCCAATATCAACCCGTCCAATTGTCAAGTATATCACGCACTTATCTCTACAACACTTTAAAAACAATATATACTCAGCACAAACTCCGAGCCTCGGCCTGGGAAAAATGGGTTTGCTTGAAATAGGGTAAAAGAGGCATTGGGTAAGCTGTAAAAGAAAACCATCAAGACCACAAAAAGAGAGAGAGAGAGAGAGCTAAATAGTGGGGGCGTGGGAGTTGAATCCCCCAAATAAATTTAGGTAAACTCTAAGCAACCGATTTTTCAGATTCCTCTCTTTTTAACAGCTCTAGGAAAAAATCATTCCATGTATCGATTGGTCCAGGCAAGCACCAATGCACACAATCATTAGGCATTTCCACGGTCTGAGATGGCCAATGACCATATATGCTGGGGTGACCATCTGGTCTCAGCAGCATAGGTTTTGTTGCATCGAATAGCCTGAACTTCAATCCTCTTTTGCTTCCTTCTTTTTGTGCAATTTTGAGTTCCTGCAGTTGGATCTTGTACATTTCTAAATTGTTATCCGCTAAAAGGATCTCATTCCTCTTATAAGGCCTCTTCCTCACACAATTCCCACCGCTGTCCCAAGTTCCATTTTCAAAGTGTTGGGGAGCAAAGGTCCTAAGAAACGTTACACCCTTGAAGTTTCCTAAACTGTTAAGAGCTCTGAAAGCAGTTCTGAAAGCTCTCTGATAGCTAAATAATGGTGTTACGTGAGTTACATTTTCCTGCGGACAGTATAAGCAGCCAACAATTCGGCCATTTTCATAGAGCATTGCTGGTCGAAAGAACCAGTGGCCACCTGAGATGACAACGTAGTCATATCCTTCGATCTTGGTTGTCCAATTTTCATCAAACTCATCAAGATATAGACCGAAAGAGCGGGCTTTATCAATCGGACTGGTGATTTCCGCGGATCTCACTAAATAAGGAGCCCAAAGAATTGAAATCTTGAAGTTGTATTCCTTGTATTTCCATTGTCTGCTCTCATCTGTTGTGCTTGAGATCTCTTCAGGATAAAGAACCTAGAGACACGGGAGACAACTTTGTAGTCTGTGATAATTATTGTTGTATAGCACAGTAATTTGTTTTTCTTCATTTTGTGTGCTAAATGATGGAGTATGCTCTTGTAGATGTTCAACTCCCATTATCTCTATTCGGTGCATTTTCAAAAAGACCAGAGTTTCCACTTAATACTTAACTCATAGTTGCTTTGTTGAAGTCTTTAATCTTTCAATATGTCTGTTAATACATTTTATCTCTTATCCCTAAAATTTAGGTGTATTTCCTCACCTGATTTATGAACATCCCTAGAGATACAAAATCTAACGATTAAGAGAGTGTAGTATATTTGTAACTCTGAAAGTTACATTATATGTGTCACAATTAGCCTTAACCATAACTTTCAAAAATAATCAGTGTCTATGTCAAATAAGTAAACATTAGGGGAAACAGATAACTACATCTGTGTTTTGGATAGATATCATTGAAGTAAATGACCACTCAATCACTAATATAATTAGCGTGGAATTTAATTCATACGAGGGTCGCAGAGACAGATGAATTGGACAACAAACCATGATTCAATCCAGAATTTTCTTTGGGAAAAGTGAAGATGAACCTACCTTGGACAAGAGGCAAAATAGTGACTGCATATGATTTCTTGAAACAGAGTCTCCAACAAAGGCAATGGATTTTCCTCTAACCAGTTCCAAGAATTGGTGCGGATCGAATGTCGGCAGCTCACATCCATCTGGTTTCCACCTCCACTTGAGGAAATCCAAATCGGGCCTCCCATATTTCAGGCAATTCTGATGTTCTTGTATCACATAACATGTGGTGTTGGTATAATAAGGGGCGTCTGGGTTCGGCACCCACTCCCCAGCAAACAAATCACACTTTTCAACTATCTCGGGCCGGGCCTCCGGTTCACCTTCTTCAGTGTTGCTGCAGGGCTGAGAACCGTCGTCCTCAGGACGGCATGGCAAACTCTGGAGAGACGTATTAATTGACTCCTTGAGAGAATCCAAAGGAGAGGATGCTTCGGAGAATTTTCTGAACCGTAAAGGTGGAGAATATACAGAGATAACTGATAAAAGAATAGCTAGGACTATAAGGGAGGCTATCTTTGGAGCCTGCTTTCGCGTTTCGTGTCGTTTTTTCCTCAAGGGAAGGTCGAGGGTCTGGAACTTCATGGATGAGGGGGTCCTGGAGTTGGGAGGAGGACAAGTACAGGGGTTGAGAAAAGGGAAGTTGCTTGTCCTGAGTCCTGCCCTGATGAGAATTACATGTACACACCTAGCTGTGTGTAGATCCAAAAAAGAAAAAAAAAAACAATTTCCAGCGATCCTGACCTGTTTCTGTTCACGAAAGGTAAAAGGCAAAGACCTGTTTCACAAAAGCAAAAGCAAAAGCTAAAACTATAGGCAGGAGCACATACTAGTACTATGCTATGAAATTGCGATGCGGCACCTTCTATATTAGAATTTAGTCAGCAAGCCCAACCTGCCCGCCCGGATCCGGATGGACACATTTCTGATTGCTGACTTTCATTCATTTATTTATTTTGGTAGAAAAGAGAAATTGCGTAAAATAATACTACTACTTAATAGACGAGGCCAAATTGCTGACTGCTGCGCATGTTCACTGGGTTAAATATTAGGATTAATTATATTTACCTCTTTTAAAGTTTATCCACGCTACAAATCAGATTTTTTCTATAGTTTTGCTAGAGGTGGCAAAATGGGCGGGATGGGCGGGATTTGCTTGGGTTTGAGATGGAACCGAGTCATATGGGTTTGGGCCCAACCTTACCCATATGTATTTTGGGACTAACTTGGGCGGGATCATTTTGGGATGGGTTTAGATTGATCCCGCCCAATACCCAAATCCATTTTCTACATATTTTTTTTCCTTTAATTCATTTTTTATTTTTATATAATTTTAATATTTTTGATTTATTAAATTTCTTTTAGTTTTATTAAATAAACATGCAAGTGCTTTATACTCAAGATTCCCACCAAAAATTGGATTAACAAATAAAGGAAAAGATAGATATACAGCCATATTCCAACATATATCAAGATGGCCAATGTCCTTAGGATGTTGAATATTTATCCTTATCATTGTCCAAGGATGACAGGTCTAAACTAACTGAAATGCTGGAAATTCTTGTGGATAATGACTAGGAAGACTACTAGATTATATTCGCTGGTATAACTATAAAAATTGTTAAAGATAATTTTTGAATCTAAGATTCCGTTTGGATTGACTTTTTTTTCAAAAAATAAGTTTTTCAAATACAATGTTACAGTAATATACAATAACTCAAGAAACATCCCATCCATATTAATATATCAAATATTTCAAAAAAAATTTATAGTATAAATTTTTCATATACACTGCTACAATAAAATATTTCAAAAACACCTACCAAAAACAGCTAATCCAAACGGAGCCCTTGCCATTTGAGCCCAATGGGTACCCAAGTATTTCCCATCCTTTCCCATTCATTAATGAGTATAGTTGGGATGTGTCCCAACTTAAACCCAATACCAAATTATAATACCCATCCCGCCCAAAGTTCCTTTGGGCATGGGTAGCCCATTGGGACTTGGGACAAATTGCCAGCTCTAAGTTTTGCCTTCTACCAATAACTCTTGTGAAATGATAAAAATACTCTAGTCTAAAAGGTTTCCAAAATAAAATAAGGAACTCGATAAGAGAGCATTTTTTAGCAAATTATAAAATGTTAAAAAAAAAAAGGAACAAAGGAGAGTGATGCGATTCCATAATTAAGCATAAACGTAGATAAAAAGAATGAAGCAAAAAAGACAAGAAAAGAAATGTTATGATACATGAAACAAACGCCGAAAAAGAAAAAAGAAAAGAAAAAACTTGTGCTTCATTTGGATTGTTGTTCTTTAAGAATTTTTTAAAATTTTTTCGTCAACACATTTCTTAATCACCTTTTTATTTTGCATGCATCAAATTGCTACAATTTATTTTTTTAATAAAATTTCTAAAAAAATAACAATCAAAACGGATTTTGATATTATCGATAATTTTTTTTAAAAAAGAAAAGCGGTTCATCTTCTCCATATAAGTTTATTTCTTTTTCATTCCTTTTCATGTCCAATTCCGCTCCAAATTGCATCAGTGTTTTAAAAATCGGATCGAATCGATTGGCTTGATTGATCGAATCGCAAACCCATCACACCATCAGTTTGATTTAATGAATAATCCAAAAAATCAATTAAATCGGTTAAAACTGATCAAAATTCACATTTATTCAAAAGCATGCAAATTTTTTGCTCTCTTTCCATTTTCCTCTTTCTTCTTTTATCTTAACCCACCACCATTGACTAGCACAAGTTAAAAAATCTCATTTTCTTTTCCCTCTTCTCCTCCTTTCCATCTCTTCTCTTTCTTCTTTTCTCTTCCTCCTCCCTCCTCCTTTTTCCCTCTATTATCCTCTTATCTCTTCTTCTTCCTCTCTCCTTCCTATTGCCATCATTCCCCTTTTATGGCCTTTGGTCGCGAGGAGAAGGAGAGCGAGAGAGGAGGAAGAGAGGTAAGGAGAAGAAAGTAGGAGAGAGAGTAGAGGATAGAAGACGGAGAGAGAGAGAGACAAAAAAATAAAAATAAAAAAGGGGATTGTCAACCTCCACCTACGATCGGTAGCCCATAGTCGGGAGAGGGGAAGAGGAAAAGTAGTGGTGAAGTGGGAGAGAATAAAAGGAGAAGAAAGAAAAGCAAAAAGACAGAGAATTTGTTTGGATTGCCGGTTTCCGTCGAAAAATTACGTCGTTTTCCGTAATCACATTTCCCTATTACCTTTTTCCCTCACATACATCAAATCGCTACAGTAATTTTTTCATGAAAAATCACGGAAAATACAATCCAAACACAACCTAAAAAAATGTTTTACATAATTTAGTGATATATTGATATTTTAGTACGTGATTATTTATTAAAATTTGATTATAATAAAACCATATTATAATTTTTTATTAATTTCGCAGGGAAGTGAGGCAGGGCGGGGCGTGACGGGGGAGTAGGGAATTGGAGGCGGGGCGGAAGGAATTAATGAGCAGCCTAAAAGGTTTTTCTATAAATTTTATAGTAAATTATAATAAAATTTTATATAAATATCCAAAAAATTCAAAATCCAATCAGGCCCATTTTCTCTCCTGCCATCCACTACGGTCAAGCTTAGCTCGCTTGTTAAATAATTTGTTTCTCTTTTTTTTTTCCTTGTGAAACGGTCATTGTTAAATCTTTACCCCAACCAACGCAACGAATAAGAGTATAACGTGCATCCTTTGGCCACCCCTCCCCCACCCAAAAAAAAAAAAACGAAAGCGAGCAAGAAAGAAAAGTGCGTGTAAGGTGCATCTTCAAAGCATTACACCTGTAAGAAAGGTGGAAAGGGATGGTACACCATACAGAAAATTCACGTTCATTCCTTCTAAATTCACACACTTGATGCATTGATGATATTTATAGTTAGTAATAAACCCGTACAAAGTGTCGATTTAGAATTGAAAAAACATGAATTTAGACTTTTTTATTTTATTTTGCAGATGCATATTATGCACATCTATGTACAAAAGTATGACTCAAAATTCGATGTAAGAATACAAAATTTGCAAAACTATGAACATATTTGAGAGATAAGAGATCGTAGATACAAGTAAATTTATTAAAATGTTAAAAAATTATGTTACGTTTACACTAATTTTAACCCTAACGCGTGTGTACGAGGTAGTGGATTGATCAAAAGTGTATTACTTTATTGGTTTTAAATGTGTAAATTTGTAGAAATTATCATATACATTATTGTTACTACTATTTTAAATAAAAGGAGAAATATATATCATTGTGGTTAGCTAAACATAAAACTTTATAAAAAAAAAGAATTATTATTCGTGAAATATAACTACGCTATCAATAGGCAAGTTAATAGCATCTTAATTGGGTGCACAGAAGAATTTATTTGTTCATAGCAAAAAGTGACGGGTCTCAATTTTACGGTGAAAAATATGTAAGGAGGAGCTGATAATTATCAACCAAATCACCGACAGTGTTGATGGCACCGCTTATGCAGGCCCCGTGATTTGTGAAAAGAATTCAACATTAATACCAGCGGTCCAGCTGTGGTGCACTTGCCAGTTGCCACAAAAGGTACTTCTCTAGCCACGTCACAAGCTAGGATACTTTCGAGATGTAATTTCGGGGTTGACGTACTATTCTCCAGCAAATTTTATTTTCTCTCGCCAAACTCATCTCTAATTAACTACTGCTCAAGTAAACTCAACAATTGCATAATTTAATGAAAACTATTTACTGCTTCGATAAATAAACATCAGAAAAGGTCATTCAATCCAATATGTATTAATTCATTAATTCTATCATCGTCAGATTGTGACACACATGCATCTGTAAATTAGACTTGTAAGGCGCATCCCTTATGTACGATATTCAGTGCATCAAATGCAAGGTCGCAGCCTTCAAAAAAAAAAAAAGAAAAGGGAATCCGTGCCCTATGCTATTGGTCTACCAGACTGTAGTTCAGATGCAAAGTATATACATTTTTTTGAAAAAAAAATATATAAAGATTAAAGGCAAAGATTAGCAAAAGAAAAAAAAAGTATGTATTTCATTTATAATGTCATACGTGAAATTGAAAAAAATTTGTTTATATCTTGCTGCGTATTGAAAGTGAATTGCAATTTTTACAAATCAACTAACATTCTATTGCCTCCGCGCACTTAACGTGCTAGGGTCGGGTTGGGGCGCCGGGCCCGGACCGCAGGAGATTAGTCGGGCCCCATAAGAATTGATCCGGACATCCCTGTGTCGACAAAAAGGAAAAAAAAAAAAACTAACATTCTATTGAATTGAATAAAATTATTCAATAAAACGATTCAAGAACGAAGATCATTTGAGCCCCGGATTACGTACGGTGTGGATATCTTGCCAACAAAAATGAATCCCCAAGTTCAAGTGTGTATGCCAGCTCCATGACGACTTAAACTGCATGCTTTTAAGACGCCACTTGCCGAAGTCATTGATGGATAGGGCGGGAATCGGAATCGAAATCGATAATTTGAAAATTTGAAATCAAAATTTTTTAAAATTTTGGCATCAGAATTTCTGATCGAATTTGATTTTGATTTCGAATTCATTCTGAATTTAATTTGGAATTCGTTAATTCTGATTTTACCGAATTCAAGAGTATAAAAATTATTATTATTAATAAATGTTATATTACATATATATAAAAATATTATATATATATATGAAAACGAATTTGAAATCGAAATAGGAATTCCGAATCACTACATTCAAAAATATAAAAATTATTATTATAATATAAAAATTATATTACGTATATATAAAAATTATATATATATATGAAAAACGGATTTGAAATCGAAACAAGAGTTCCGAATTCTGATTTTGATTTCAATTTCGAATTGTGAATTCAAAATCAGAATTTCTAATTTAAAAAATTTTATTACCGAATTCGACCCGATTTCCTCTAACTCAAAATCGAATAATCCAATTTTCATTTCGAATTATCGAATTCAAAATTTTGAATTCTATTTAAATTCAATCGACAAATCAAAATTTTTTAATTTTACACGCTCCTATTCGTCGGTAATTAAAGTTTCCATAATAAAAAAAATACTAGCGTGGTACTGGTAGGAGGCGGTAGTGTCATACTAATAGGTAGGAGCCAAACCCCTAGGCAACTTTCGCCGATTCTACCAACTGTACACTAGAGAGTAGAGGCAAGGGAAGAAATGCAGAATTTCGCCAGATTCACGACATCTAGACGGAATTTTCTCGACAAACCCAAGAACCGTCGTGCCTGGCTCTTTGCTGGTCTTCTCTTACCCATCCTCCTCCTCCTCTTCTTCACCAGTGCTCCAAAGCACTACCATTCTTTCCGCCGTCTACGACAGCGTCTCCAAGCTCCCCAAGATGGGCAGTGCAAATATGGCACCATTTACGTTTACGACCTTCCTCCGATCTTCAACCAAAAGCTGTTGGATAATTGCTACGATCTAGATCCGTGGACTTCCCTCTGCAAAACTCTCTCCAACGATGGATTTGGCCCAAAAGCCACCGGCCTCGACGGGATTATGCCCAGAGATCTTACTCAAGCTTGGTACTGGACTCACATGTTTTCCGGGGAGGTTATGTTTCATGCGAGGATTTCCAACTACAGGTGCAGAACCTACGACCCAGATTCGGCCACGGCGTTCTACATCCCCTTTTATGCTGGATTAGCAACTGCCAAGTACCTGTACGGTAACTCTAGTGCGAGCGAGCGAGACTCTCAATGCGAGAGCCTGCTCAAGTGGGTCACTGGCCAACCCTCTTGGAAGAGGTCTAAAGGGGCTGACCATTTTATCATGCTGGGAAGGATGTCTTGGGATTTCAGAAGGAACACCGATGAGAAGTGGGGGTCCAGCTTCCTTCTCATGCCTCCCATGAGGCAGACGTTAAAGCTCTCAATCGAGCGTAATCCTTGGGATCGGTCGGAGATCAGCGTTCCTTACCCTACGGGATTTCATCCCAAGTCCAAAGCTGAGCTGGAGAGCTGGCTGAAATTTGTCCGGACCCGCAACCGGTCAAAGCTCTTCACTTACGTTGGTGGAAGACGCAAGAAGATAAAGAACGATTTCAGGGTTTTGTTGTTAGATCAGTGTCGGAAGGAGGCTGATTCGTGCAAAGCGGTGGACTGTTCTAAGACTCCCTGTGCGGAGGGAACGCCGGCGGTTCTGGAGTCGTTTTTGGACTCGAATTTCTGTTTGCAGCCTAGAGGTGATGCTTACACGAGAAGATCCACGTTTGACTGTATGTTAGCGGGTTCGATACCCGTTTTCTTTTGGAAAAGGAGCATCCACGGTCAGTTTGAATGGTTCATGAGGGATGACCCGGAGAGGTTCTCGGTGTTTATAGGTGAGAACAAAGTCAGAAATGGTACTTCCATTAAGAAGATTTTGCAGGGCTATGGTATAGAAGAGATTCAGATGATGAGAGAACGGGTGACTAACTTAATACCTACAATTTTGTATGCTATGCCCGGTGATGATGGGGAGAATAGTAGAGATGCCTTCGAAACAGCTTTTGAAGGGGTGTTACGGCGACTCAAGGAGCAGAAGCAGCTCAGCCAACAATGAGCAATAAAAAATATTGGAGCATGGAAGAAGAAGGAAAAAAAAATTCACCCCGTTTTGCAGAGGTCTAGTTGGTTCGAATTCGATGGAGAAGAAGCTGTCTGGTGGTCCTCCTCCTCCTCCATCACTTGTGCGTCGTCGAGACTTGAAGACGTCAAGAAGAAGGTTTGATCAATGAAATTCAGATTCCGGTGTTACAAAGCAATGAAATATGGATGGCGTCAATTCAATTCAAGGTTAACATCTCTTTTAGTGTTCTACAAGTGACACTGCAGCAAAATTTATACAAATTGTTAAACGCGATTCGTTTGTTTTCGAGATTTATTCATGTGGTCAACTACATTAGTATTTGTTTAGACAAATTGAAAACGGGTGGCGCGGGGGATTCACGGAGGTAGGAATAGGCGGTGGTGGGCGAATCAAAATACTCTCTGTTCACTGGTCTCAAAAGGGAATTGAATGTTGTGGTGGGTTGGGTAGCAGCAGCCTTAAATGTTAGAAGTAATTAGAAGGACTACCCACTTCCATTCCATATGCGCTAGACAAAATGAAATTCCCCCGGGGTTATGGATAGGAAATTAATTAGTTAACATTCGTTTTAAGTTGTAATCATCATCGTTGTTGACTTCTCTCTGGCTTTTTACTTCACGGTTACTTCTTTTCTTGGTGACTGGTTTTAGTCTTAGGCGTTTAGCAGGTCAAACTTGGTTTTTTTGTTTTTTTTTGGTGGGGAATTTGGCGGAGGTGAAATTCTTTTTCTTCGTTCTTACTTGAATTAATTCCTGTGCTTCTTATTAGTATTAAGTACTCATATGTCCTTACGAATGAAACGGTGAAAATTTCGAGTTAAGCAGGCGTGTATATCGAATTTGTGAATTTTTTTTGGGTGGGGTGGGTGTCTGCTACGAAATACTCCCTCTATCCTACTTTGATAGTCCAGGTTCTTTTTTCACACAATTTAAGAAAAAATAGTTAATTTTATTGGAGCAATCAATTTAGGTAGCTATTTTTCTAAAATATTCTCACATTAATTAGAGTACAATTTTATGAGAACTTGAATTGATGGTAAAAAAGGAATAAACTCTCATTAAATGGAGTAGGTTTATAGTAACAACAACTTACATTGAATAAGGGTATTTTAGAAAAATTAAAATACAACTACATTCTTCAATTGGAAAGTGGACTACAATTTGGGACAGACGAAAAAGGAAAACAGGACTATCAAAGTGAGATGGAGTGAATAATGCAATGTCTACAGGCTCCAAGTGCGTTGTTATTTGGGATTTTGGAGTAAGCCCAAAAAAATGTGAAATCCAACACAGAAAGCAAATCCAGCGGGGTTGGAGAGATCCTCATTTTAGTCCAACTTCAAGGACCCAAGCTATATCAGTAACTAATCAGACTAATCTTGGTTTTTAATCTCACCCTTCACCATTACTTTTTTTTTTTCCTTTCTTTCCTTCCTGATAAACATCCTTCACCATTACCTAAGCGAGAGAAAATTTGTTGCAATGCAAGTTTCAAGAAATGGATGAAGGCGAATGGCGCATTTTTAGATATCAAATTGAGTGTTACTAATTTTCCTCATTAAGAAACCGTGCGAAAAATGTTGATTAAATTTTGCTATTTATGACGAAAAATTGGGGGAGTCAAACTACATGGAAACAAAACTAGCATGTTTTGGGTAAAAGCAATCTCATCCACGAGGCCGTTCTACTGGTAGACTCCTGGTTTAGGCTGTCCGATGCACCAAAAGGGCCGAAACAAATTACTGGTTTTTGGCGGGGGCCCGACGGGGTGGTGCGGATGAAAAATGAAAAAGAGAAGGAAAAAAATCACATGCTAGGCGGAAAAGGAGCCGTAAGTTTTGAAGCCTCCCAAACTTTATTAAAATAAAACAAAAATTCAAAAAGTTCATATGATGCACTCTGGCCACCAAAAAAGAAAAGAAAACAAGAGAAAAGAAAAAGAGTTTGAAAGCGGACGACGTCGTCGAGCTGTTACAGCTCCAAAACCCTACTGGGCATTTCTAAACCTCTTGTTGACGGGCTCAAAATCAGAATAGCACGAGCAACGAAAACATGGCTTGGCGCGGGTCTCTCTCAAGGTCTCTCCTCTCAAATGCAAGAGCTTCCACCGCACGCTCTTCCTCGCCGTCCCTCCCCCGTCTCCGTCCTACTTCGTCAGCTCCTCTTCACGGCCAATACGCTCTTTCTCGCCGCCTCTTCTCTTCCGACCTTCTCAGGTTCCTGCTTCATTCCCTGTTACCTTTCTTTTTTTAATAAAAAAAATCCCTGGCCTGTTAAATCTTAATCATGTACACGGTAATTTAAACTTATCTGACTCTCAGGAGCGGCGGTTTTCTCGCTTGCACTCAGTCGCTACTGCCTCTGCACAGCGTGGTAGCCGCCACTCGTCTCACGTCGCACATCGCTGTCGAGGCGCGCACTTGCTGCGAGTTGTCTCAGGGTATCATTTTCTCTCGCACTTGCCCTTGTCGCTAACGCAATATGGCCAATTGCCTAGTATGTGATTTTTCATGTTCATTTCATTTCCGATTCACTTGGATTGAGAAATCTTCAGATTTATCCAAAACACAAATTGTCCACTATCAAACGCATGCAGAAAAAATTTCCATATTCTTAAAATGCTCTTCTTTCGATCTTTCTTCTGTTTGTAAGTTTTAAAGACTTCATCTTAGAAGTCTGAAAAGTCTCTATGAAGGTCAATTAGTAGTAAATTTTGACAAAGTTGCTATTCTGCATGTACTGTGTATACTTGTATTATGTGCTTTGTGAAGGGACCAGTAATAATATGACTGACGGAGCATGAGGGAAGTTTCAGTGATCTGTACTAAATTATTCAACTAGTTGCTGCTGTTGCTAATTCGTATGTTTCCCTTTATCATGGCAATGGGCTTAATGTAGTTAAAATATGATTTACATTCAACCTTGAAATTGTTGAGCATCTGCCGGTTTGAATATTGGGAATGCATGTATCTTTTGCTTCCCCCCATCTTTAGTGCTTGGAAAACCATTACACAATTGCGTTCTGCTCTATAAGACATTTATTTGTCATTTAGTATCCGAGTTTAGGATTTTCACATTATTTGCCAACATCAGATTGTAAAGCTTTGTTTGACTTCTTGTGTACATGTCTAGCCAGTTTTTGTCATTTTCTTGTCATTTATTTTTAAGAAAATGAAGAACATATGGAACAAATAGGAAAAGTTCTTGATTGATTTTCGCTGTCCTGCTTAGTTGAATTCATAAACTCTGCTAAGAATGTCTGAGATCTTTATTTGTGGGTCAGTCCCGTGCCTTTGGAAGAATAAACCTACTTGTGTGAGATGTAGCTTGCTGTTGAGATGCTGAAATTTGTTTGCATTATCCATGGTATTCACCAATATCTGATGTTCTTCATATCTAGGTACTTAAGGTATTGACTTATGGACCAGCATTCTAAGTGCTGGATGTGTCATACCATGGAGCTTGCTGTAGGGCCTTTAGTTGGGGAGCTGAGCTGTATGCTTTGGGGTCTTCCTTTTTTGTTGCTTCTGGAAAGTAATTGAGATTGTTTCCTTTGTCTGTCATAGAATCCCTCTTCAAAATTTCCTGCCTATCTGACATTTATTTTCTTAGGGAAAGTGACAAATGTACAGTTCTGCAATGTTTATTATTTACTGGAGTTTGGTATCACTGTGCCTTGATGCTTTACCTGCAGTACAATGTTAGAAGAACTAGATTTGGATGTTTGGTAACTGGATATCTGTGTTTTAAGTGGCACTTAAACCTTTTTATGGACCAATAACTCTTTGAGATTGCAATTGTAAGCATGAACATATGTTTTTAGATAAATAATTGAAAACTAAATGGTCTGCTGATCCAGTTCTGATTCATCATTCCAATATATGTGCGGAAGCTTCTTCCTGAAAGCTCCTTCACAGTCACTTTTAGGAGAGAGAGGTTGAACTCAGGACATACTTTCTTTATTGTATTCGGACTTCTTTGAATTTCTGGAACTCGATTCTGAGAATAAATGCGAGCTTGCTCGGGGTTGTTAGGGGGTCTAACAGGTTGTTTCCATAGGCCGCAATTGCAGTTGTACCTTTAATTTACTTTTGATGGCTATTTCTGCAGATGAAGTGGTCTTTTTTTTTTCTTTTTTCTTTTTGGGGTGGGGGGTGTGTGGGTGGTTGGTTGGTGCAGGCCTCCAGTATTTAGATCATTTGGATCACAATTTGCTGAGAGCTTTGCAAAATATTTTCCGACTCATTTATTGGTTGGCAGGGATGCCTGTATGTTAATATTTTGTTGTGATTAGTCTTAGTATTATGTTTAATTTCACACGACTGCGCATATGTGAATATAATCGCAAATACACGCCTCGAGAATGGGACCTGATATCTACGCTATTCTCAGTGAGTATGAATTAAGAGCGTTAGAATTTTGTAATTATGATTTCCCTCAAGTTCAAGTCTTAATATTACGGAAACAACATCATTAGAAAGGGAAGAGCAAACAAGGGACTAACATTGTGGCAACTCGTGAATATAGTTGGCCTTTTGCTCGGCAGATGTTTAAGTAGAATCATGGTGTTTATGCCATTAAGCTCATAAAAAACTTGCAAGACAAGTCGAGAATCCTACATTTTTCAGGCAAATAGCATAAACTGACATGAGCTGCGCTTCCTAACAAATCATGATTAGGTGGAAACACGTATCCAAAGATGAGACGAAATTAAATTATGCCTCTTGCCCCTTCTGATGCCTTAAGTATTCCTCCCTTTCTTCTGTCCGCTAAAGCGGTGATGGCGTCTATACAACTCTATGAGCCTCCGTCGCTTGAGCACCCTGTAATCGAAATGCCTGCTAAATTCTTGCAATTCTGCAATGGGCCAAGACTATGAACTGAAAACCAATAATGACAACGATGGAGGGAATGTTAAAGATGACAGCCTTTGTCGCGAGCAGTTGAGTTTAAGCCTCAATGTGGACGGGCCCATCTGTGGTACGGCCATTAATATACCTCGTGAAAGACGACCACTGGCAGTAAGGTTCTCTCATGCAACCTTTGAGGAAGTTTTGTCGTTCACAAGCATTGGGTGGTCACCAAAATGCTTGCAAGAGACAAAAGGAAGGCATTCAAAAGGTACCAATCCCAGACGATGATGGTGTTGTGCAGCCCCACGCTCTGGTGCACAAGGCAAGCAGAGATGGGACGAAGATGGTGGCCAGATTTAGTGACTCCTGGCGTTGGTGCGGCATGGAAACCCATTGTGCTTGAGGATGCAATTAATTTGCTCTGGCCCTGCAGCTTCCATACGATTAAAGCTCCTACAGGGCTCGACCCAAGTCTTACATTATTGTAAATTTGACACCATCTATAACGTTACGCTTTTGTCTTCCGAAGCCAAGCCCCAAGAATTTTACTAAACACCCATTAACAAGATATTCAATCGCTTCTTTGATTCCGCGGAAAGGAGCTTAGTGTTCTAGTTTTAGGCGGAACGTTTTAATTTACATTTTCGTTAGAATGAAAACTTGATCAGTCGAAACAATAAACAGGGATCCTCTTTGTCGGTCTACATTCTGGATTTTGGTGAAGGAACAAGGGAAAAGAAGAGGAAAGAAGCAAAATGAAGATGTTCTTTACGTTTTTCTCTTCGCAGATAGGCATAATAGTAAAAGTTACGTCAGCGGCAGTTCAAGACTTGGAAAGAAAAGTTACTTCATTTTCAATTAGGCAAAATAAATATTTTGTTTATGAAATTACTGTGTATTTATATATTACCAAATTCTAAAGTTACAAAAACAGTTATGCGAAAATAAAATATAGTAATAGTAACAGGGTTATGCATTGGCATGTACGATTGGTTTTAATATTTCACTCCCAGGGCAAGCAGGTGCACTTGCTACGCGTTTTTTTGATATGAATTTTAAATTCCTTCTTAAATTGAGAGAATTTTTTGACCAGATCCCAATAATTTTAGTTTTTTTTTTCAACTGCAAATGTGTTCACAAGTGAAGCATCTTTAATACGACTCCTTTCATATATATATATCAGTGACCAATTTAAGGGAGAGAAATTTGAACCCTGCCTGTAATAGTTTGGCAGAGTTTTAAAGGTTTATCAGTGACCAATAGACTTCCCCAATGATTGGTTAAGAATATTTCTTTTTCTTTTTTTTTTAAATTTTTTTTTAAGGAAATGGAGATTTCTTAAAAGCGCCCTCATTTTCTTTGAGGAGGATATTCTAGAAGGCCTAAACCTACCTAGACCCGGGCACAGGAAGAGAACAGTCCGGGCGAAATTTGGCTCCAAGTTGGTGCGGAACATGGGCATAGGGCTACAGGCTTTGGGTCTTGGGCCAATATCTACACCATTTTTTCGGTTTGTCGTGTACGGACTCGACCTCACCAAAGCCTACGAGTACGTGTCACGACCCAAAAAGTCAAAATTTAGTTTTAAACCTTCAACAATGTTGGCTGGCCAACAAACAGAACAGAACACTCCAGCCAGTAGCCTGGGGGATTAGGCAAGAGGCTTGGAATATTAACAATGATCAATAGCGCGACACAAATCCCGCAAAAGTCAAACTGGAAAACAGGGACTAAGCAAGCCTGTCGTGCTGCGATTTGTCAACTCAATAGCCTTGACGGAATTCCTAATGAGAGTTCCAGCAAAGCTATTACTGTATAGTTGGAATTTATTGTAAAGATTTTGTATTTCTTGCAACTGCGGTGCAAGGCAAAGGATTCGCCAATTTAAGAATAATTGCCTTCATAGTCAATCCAAACGCAGGCCCAGGAATTGACCACAGAGCGAACCCATGGCGTCTGTGGACTTGCTACATTTATTTATAGGCAAATTTGACTTAGATTTTGATGGGTAGAGAGGGATGTATGAGGATTTTTAAAAATCTAATGGCTGCCGTCCGAACCCATCTTTCCCCGTTCAAACTTCAATTCCATTGACTCTCGATACGTACATCAATCAACCCAAATTGTTCTGCAAAATTCATGCACAGTTCTAGCCGATTAACTTACGGTTTTTTTTCCCAATTGCAATCTGGAGGCAGGCTGGAGGAAAATTGCAATCCTATCAGACTGCAAAACAGCCACCGACAAAATGAGGAGCAACGATGATGTGCAGGACGGACATCTAGCAACCATCCTGAAGGACACTGGTGAATTAACACCAGGTTTTGAGCAATATACAGCTTCTTTTATATCTAAAATAGCTAATGTAGCAAGTCATATGCTAGCACATTTTATAACCAAACCAGTTGATGACATAGACTGGGTAAATGATTTTCCAATTTGACTAATAAAAAAAAAAAATTTATTCTAGTTTTTACTTCTGATACGCGTTTCATTTGTTTTCTCCATTTTCGTCATGCTAACTAGATAGAAAAAAAAAATTGAGAGCATAGCTGCCTAATTCCTTGTCCTAGTACAAGACTTAATCTCAGGAATAGGATGGCTGGTCGAGCTGTTGTGTTCCTAGGGAACAACTTCTATGACTAATCATACAAGGTGAGAAGAATTTTTTTTTTTTTCAACTAAAAAAAACAACCCAAAATTATCAAGTTCCTTCCTGGCGGGGATCTTATGCGCGACTGGGTGGTTTGCACTCCCGTTGTTCTTTCTTTCCTCCAAAGCATGCAGGAGAAGATTGATTTTTGTGAACAAAGTGCATGCATGGATTCGTTACATATTATCAACGGAAAGTAGCTAGTATTCACCAGCATCTTAAGATCAATTCCCTGAGCTGTCTTTATACAAGAATACTCGCACTTAATGTTCATCAAAAAAAGGGCTTCTGTGAATATATTAATATACACTCTAGGATCCGATCCATCTCTCAAATTTGCTGACTAACTCCTAAATTATGATGCAAAGGTAAGTTAAGATCACACAAGGCTACAGCCTCGAGTTAGTTTATTAAAATTGAGCCCTGCAAAATCTGTAGGTTAGATAATTCTAAGGCCCGGCGGAGACATACCAACTGTGGTGACGGAATTGTATCCGAGGTGTCTCTAATACTACATAATAATATCACGGGATGGAATCAAAATCCAGACCATGTTTCCTGCAACAGCCAGCCAGGTCAGGTGCCTGTGATTATAACGCCAGTTCCTCAGACAACAAGCATTAGTAACTCCAGATATAATGCACATACATGGCAGTCTGCCCTATTGGTGCTTGTGATTTCTCAACAAGAGCATTATACACCCGCATTGCAACTACCGCTTTCAGGGAATCCTCCTCCAAAGTCCAAGAGACAGAATTTCCGCTGGTTGCCTGTGTATTTTTTTAACTTCACTGCTCCAGACCAGAGAGAGCAGCCGTGCCAGCACAAGTCTTTATTGACTTCTGTCTTACTAGCATTAAACTGTTGAATATCAACATAGGGTTCCGTGTGAGCGGCCACATCAAGATGGCATGACTTGCTCTCTTTGTTTGGTAAAATAGAAGCAAGCACCATGTTTGACAGTTCAAGTCATGTGGCTTGTGGATTTGAATTGTCGCATGAGCAGGCAGAATTTTCATTCTCTAGCTATTTATATATTTTAATTTTTTTGGGGTGATGTTCGACTCTTGAACCAGGCTTAGCTCTGATCAAGTATTAGGATAAGGAAGTAGGAAGTCCGCTATGTTTTTCACATTTACTAATATTCAATCATAGAACAAATAAATTAGGAGTTGGTCCTGATCAGCAAGAAAGTTATCAGCGGAAAATGAAATTCAATTGACGGGACGGGCTTTGGAAGTCAATTGCCACTACTTTTGGCCAAATCAATTGGTGCATAAAAGTAGCACTTTAGTCATAAAACCCTACAATACAGAA